GAATTCTCTGACAATGCTGGATAGTAGAGTAGTAGGCTAGGCGTGGACTCAGCAGCCCAGTCAGTGAATCCAGTGATACTTCGCACGTGGCCAGTTGCCGCGAAAACGCATTTCGCAGCTTGGGGTCATGGAAGCGTTAAAAGGGTGATAGTAAAGATCCACTACTTGATCAGAAAAAAGAGTAGCCCAAATAGTTAGTGGTGAGTACTGTTGACTAGCTGCTCTCTCTCTAGTTTGTTAAACCATATTAGTTACGGTTATGCACAGATAATCTAGGCGGAGCTTCGTGTGAAATTCTGACACAAACAAACAAAAACAAATAATCTAATGCTAAATTCGTTATTCCATTTTTGACCTCCACTATACAGGTCACAGAGCAAGCGACTTCATTAAAGTTATACAGAGGTTGAGTACGTTATATAAAAACGATTCAGAAGCATCTCAAAATCGTTAAAGTCCATGTTGTCACGGTCGGTCATGCCCTATCTGACGATCGTGATTCTTGACAATAGCCTTGCAGCGTAGTTTTTATTGCAAAAGTTCCACTGCAAGGCTGCCATATAAAAAGCACATTCCATTCAACCATAGTGCTCTCCGTAATCCATGTACGATATGAAGACAACGGCTTACCAACACCCGTTTCAACGGTCTGATTGCACAGAAATCCATAGATGACTTGACTTGCATGTCTTTGTACGGAATAGCATGAATATCCGTTTCATCCTTTAGCTGCTTGAGGTATGCGATGATTGAACTGGAGGTAGGACTGTAAGTCTTATTTTGTTGAACCCATAACTGTGTTAGTCTCGTTTCCACATGGAGATTCTTCTTGATTATGTTGCTAAAAGTTGCCTGTAGCACGCGAACAGTTCTTTCCACTGACCTTTGTTTTTGTGAATTCTCACCTGTTATAAGATAACTTACTTTGCTTATAACGCTTGGAATACAACCTATTGCAGGTCGCATTCTCGATTAATCTGGTGTCCTACGATGATCCATATTCCTTTGTTCTTCAATTGTTCTTTATCCATAAATGTGACAGGGAAAGAGTTAAACTTAACGGAAAACAAGCTAGATGAGAACGAATGGGACTAATATGTGGATCTACTGACCCACTTCTGCAAATGAAAAGCAAATGCATGCTGCGAACAAAATCACACGTGCAGCGAGCTTTTTCCATTTACCATTCGACGAATTTTTCTATTGCGTGTTTTATAAGACACTAAATTCCGTTTCTTTAATCTTTGTTTGGTTTCAAATATTTACGCAAACTATCAGCACTATTCGTCCCAAAGGAAGGCAGTTGGCCAACAGCACCTACTGCCAACTCTTTGACTATTCTGATCAAATATGGGGATTTATTTGTCATTCTTTCTTTTTCTTTTTTTGTAAAAAGTTTTTTATGCGGGCAGATCAAATAAAGTCAGCCTTTGTTATTTTTGTGGCTGGAGCGTATCACGTGTTCTAGGCGAGTAAAATCAACTTTACACTTGTAACCACTGCAGACGTCTACCGATTGGCAGTTAGTTTAACAGTCTCTGCTGGCCCTATTACCTATTTCTGGATAAATCTTCGAAAGATATTGACGAAAAGCGAACATGAGATGTGACGACCTATTATCTTGTCAAGATTTCACCTGAGTTTTAGCATCATTTCATGTAGTAACACAGAACTGATCTCTTGTCAAGATTTCACCTGAGTTTTAGCATCATTTCATGTAGTAACACAGAACTGGTCATTTGCCAATAAAAATTATCTATGCATGCAATAAAATTACACTATAATTTTACAAAACAAAACAGTTGATATGTAAAAGATAAAAATAAATGATTATATGAACGTGAAAGATGGTAGTTGGGATGTGGATATACGATGCATCATGATTTTGTTCGTCTTTTCAGTGTTTGAAGAGTTATCTAAACAAACGTCATGGTGAACGGATGGTTTGATGCCTTTAGAGACAACAATGAAGCATCGTACTACAGCTTATCGAACAGAACGTCTGCCGTTCATGATATGCGGACTATCATCATTTGTATCAGTTTTTCAACTTTCTATGTCGCCTTTCTCTTAATATTTCCTGGGATAAGGAAGAAGGTAAGTTATATTTATCTTCAACAGTTGATGCTAGAGATTTACAGTCATGCATATTCTTGTAATCATGCCTTTCAAAAATTTGACATACACAAACTTGTTTTACATAAACGTTTATACATTATTCTCTGATCATTTTCTTTTCCGGGCTTCCTAAGGTCAAATCGCTACAACAACAATCCCCAGTTTTCCGAAAATTATATATTCCATCACACACGACGTAGAGATTTGTATGTTACTAAAATATGTGAGTTACCATTATTTACAGGCATATATGGATCATTACACGTGTGTGTGCCTTGTCAGATAAGACGTGGTATAAGATTAAATAACACACTGATGTTTTCTAATTAATCACAGTGTTACACAAATCAAAATATCGCTATACTATATATCTGAGTTTGCAGAAATTGTGCCGCATAACTGCGGTGTGATGATATGTTGGGTAAAAACAACACAATTTTCATTGTACTGTTTTTGTTTTCAATCTCCAAAGGTATAACTCGCAGGAAATAGCCTTCCTTTTGTTTAGCTAAAAGTTATTATCAAGGCAACTTTAAACACTCCCCGAAGGTAGAAATGAACCTCTATTATTTGTGTCGTGGAAAAACGAAGTATGGCTAATGCTAATAGTAATAAACTACTTGGAAGCACAGGAAAAAAAGGGTTAATTTTAGCATGTTATCCTCAATACATCAACTCTGCATGAAATAGACTTTTGAACAATTTCTCGTGAATGTTTTATATATGGAAGAATACAATTTATTTTTGTAGCTTCTCTTACCTCTAGCCCCCAGTGGCACAGCGGCATGTCTGCTGACTTACAACGCTAGAATCCAGGTTTCGATACCCGTGGTGGGCAGAGCACAGATAACCCATTGTGTAGCTTTGTGCTTAATTACAAACAAACAAACAAACTATTACCTCTATCTCACCATATACGAACATTCGCATTTGTAGAAGGTTGAACGCACCTTTTGTTTAATAAACTTAACACCTAGAACCTTTAGAAATCCCTATAAGAAGAAGAATAAAAAAGATATTTTGAGAGTTTGATTAGACTTTTCGTCTAGACTTTAGGGCGATTTTTGTCTCCCTAACTGTTGGCAGATAATAGATAAGGTTTTGAGTTTTCTGTTGATTCAAGAGAAAGAATAAGTTTAAAACTGAGAATTTAGAAAATAAAAACTAATCAAACTAAAAGAAAAAAAATTCAATTTATAAGACATTGATTAAACAGACGTAAAGTTTAAAAACATTCGACATCTCACAGCCACTTTTTATTCCTTTTTAGTTACAGGGCGTAATAAAAATATCGAATATCAAATACATAGTAAGGTATATGTGTGTATTACCAAATATATCATTACCATAGGCTCGTTACAATCTCCACCTTACAACGAATGTAACCGCTGAACACCATCCTTGTTTTATGTTCTTGTTGTTTCGGTTTACTAACTTTCCTTGACTGCTATGGTTCCCCAGTGGCTCAGCACTAAGTCTCAAGGCTTGTAAAGTTAAAAACCGAGTTTCGATTCCCGTGATGGGCACAGCATAATATAAATCCATTGTGTGACTTTGTGATCAACAAACAAACAAAACTGATTGCCTTGTTTCTATATCTTTTAATCAAATTTCAGTACCGGTTAAATTTGTGTAAATAAATTAAGTCATTCCCTGATGTGTTTTTGTTTGATTTTCATATTTATTCATATTGCTGAAAGAATATGTTGTGATATATATATATATACAATTTCCCTGCATTGTTTTTATGCTTGTTTTTATCCTTTTTGGCAATTTCTAAATATTTTCTTTTATTGTTTTTTTATCTGTAAGCAAAGCTGGTCATGTGTTAAAAAAAGAAAAGACTTCTAATTACATTTACAAAACTGACTAACAAGCATTAAAAGTTTTATTTTCGTTTAGGGTTCAGTTGCAACTCTGAATATTGTTGAGATCACGATTTAAGATCCGAATCTGAACATTTAAACATAAAATAACTTTACAAACATATTGTATACGTCGTCTTGGTGTGTTCTTTAATATGGATTTCAAAAGCCTTTTGTCCCGGCATGGCCAGGTGGTTAAGGCGCTCGACTCGTAATCTGTGGGTCGCGGGTTCGAATCCCCGTCACACCAAACATGCTCGCCCTTTCAGCCGTGGGGGTGTTATAGCGTGACGGTCAATCCCACTATTCGTTGGTAAAAGTGTAGCCCAAGGGTTGGCGGTGATGACTAGCTGCCTTCCTTCTAGTCTTACACTGGTAAATTAGGAACGGCTAGCGCAGATAGTCCTCGTGTAGCTTTGCGCGAAATTCATAACAAACAAACAAATCAAAAGCCTTGTTTATGCTATAAAAAAGCCAAATAACAACAACATGTATTTCTCATTACGTACTATAATACACGGCTCAACGACGCTGCGCTAGTAGAAATATATCTTGCAATCACATTAGTAAGACGAAACCTGGGACGCTGCGCTAGTAAAAATATATCCTGCAATCACATTAGTAAGACGAAACCTGGGACGCTGCGCTAGTAGAAATATATCTTGCAATCACTTAGTAAGACGAAACCGGGGACGCTGCGCTAGTAGAAATATATCCTGCAATCACATTAGTAAGACGAAACCTGGGACGCTGCGCTAGTAGAAATATATCCTGCAATCACATTAGTAAGGCGAAACCTGGGACGCTGCGCTAGTAGAAATATATGCTGCAATCGCATTAGTAAGACGAAACCTGGGACGCTGCGCTAGTAAAAATATATGCTACAATCACATTAGTAAGACAAAACCTGGGTATCCAATTTAAAGTTGATTTGCGGAATTAAATCATTTAAAAGATCAGAACCCAGATCGTTAAACTGAGATACTGAATAAAGAAGTATTTTATCCCAAAACTCTAAAAATCAACTTCTGCCAACAAACCATATGTCTTATTAATTAGTTGAGAGCAAAGAAGTTTAATTTCGTATTTTTTTTTAAATATGTGATTTCATATGTTCCCATCGTGTAAAATATAGTAACTTAGATTATTGGGGATTTATCATAAAATTATGTAGTAGGGCAGCAAAATGTTCAAAATCTTCGGAAAACAGACTTCAACTCTTCGAGAAATCGGATACCTGGAAGAAAAGGCAGGGGGAGGGGAGGTGCGTAATTGAACCAAATCTATTATGAACTTTCTTTTCCCAGTTTCTCTGCAGTGGTGGATAAATATAACACACTGTATTAGTGAATGAAACGCTGGCATGAGAAATAGTATGTGAAATATATATATTATTTTTTTCAACACACATTTAGACAAAACTCGCTATAAACTCGAACAAGAAGTTGTGTTTATGACGATACCCCGTAAATAGAAACTAACTATACATATTTCATAATCGCCATACTGGTAATTTACTGGTGGGGGATTGCTGACATGACAAACCAATATAGTGTAAAATCCGACAAGGATCTAGGTGCTGGAAATGGATGGCAATAATGACTTTTTTTTTCAAACTGCTAAGCTGAAATACTATTAAGCCTATTTTCTATTTAGTAATATGATAAATTGTGCTCGCGTATTTTACCATTGCCTCAGTGTTATACTCTCGTGGAAAGGAGGTTGATGCTTTGCTTGGGATTTTTATGTAACAAACAAGAATGTACAAAAGGTTTCATATAAAATATTAGAGTTTATGTCTAAAAATATAGCTTCTTCCTGTTTTTTTTTCTTTCAGAAATTGCCAACACTTGTCTGTGTGACCGTTAGTCTCTTTATTGGAATTGCTATCGTGCGTAAGTAGACACTTTATTTTTTGTTCAACATTACGTGTTCTGACCCAAAGCTCAAAATATGGAATTTTTAGTGGTGGGACAAATTTTAATGTAACGTGAGGTACCTTTTGAAAACTTGTTTTATATTGATCGCTGTGTTAAAAGAGCTTCATATTTCCATAAGGAAAGTTTTATTAAAAGCAATAAACTGCAAGTAGTCTCCAATTGCACACATTACAAGCCAGAGTCGTAATGGAAAAATAAGATGACTTTTCAATACGAAACAAACAAACATCACTGGTGGGACAAATCAAAGCGTTTATGGAAAACTGCCCAACTAATATACACGCTGTTTTAAACACTGACGGATCATTAAAATTTTTCTCACATACTACCCTATAGTTCTTCATATTTTTATTAATAATAATGGATTAAACGTTTTAATTTTCCCATACTTTGTAGTTGTTACCACTGTAGCTTCTTATTCAGTTGGCAAAACAAACGCCGTTTTTCCATCCATGATCTGTAGCATATTATTGTTAATGTGATGCTCTTGTGATATTTTAATATAGTTATATATTGTCTCTCTTTGGAGAAGATACTGTTCTGGATGTCTGTAACCCGTATATTAAACTTTGGAATGTCTTGAACGTCACGATATTCATAAATCGATGTTAATCCAGAACTGTAACGTTTCTTCAGTTTTAAATAACGGTTACAGACATCCAGAACAATAAATTTTCCTCAGTTTTAAGTAACAGTTACAGACATCCAGAACTGTAACTTTTCCTCGGTTTTAAATAACGGTTACAGACATCCAGAATTATAGCTTTTCCTCAGTTTTAAATAACGGTTACAATCCAACAAGAATAAGATTATAACAGTGGTAATCTCGGCTTTAATACACAAAACCTATTACGTAATACATGGCTAACCTAGAACCACATATACGTTTATGAATTTTAGACGAACTTGTACATATATGATAAAACGTATCATTTTATACATTCTCTGTTATCCTAGAATTCCTTCAAATGTAGTTTTAAAAATAGACATTATAAAATGCCATGTCTCGTTTGTTTTATTGTTCAGATCTCCGTTTTTATAGTATAATAACTATATCATTAAGGAAAATTAGAGTCCAAGAGGCAATTACAGCATTTAATCATTCATTAACTCTACAAAAGAAAATATATTGCCAATGATTTTCTATTACGTATAGTAAAGAAATGTTGGAAATGTGAATATTGAAAGTTTGGCCAAACATTTGTTCTTGGGTCCCGATATAATAAACTACTTTATCGTCACAACGTCGTGTTATCTATGTACTATCTATCTAACCCGTTTTAAGTGTTATGTATAAATAGTTTTTAGTGTGACATCTATATATGTAGTAACAGTTAGAGCTTTCAGCCGCTCTCCATTGTTATGCCAGTCGTATAATCAATACAGTAAAGCTTAAAACATATACCTAACAGTGTAACAACTCCTGCACACACCATACGTGTTTAATATTGGACACAAAGAGATGTTTCTCATTAAATTGTCCGATTTTATTCGTCACTTTCTCTGGACTACTTATATTGTAATTCAATACAAAATAATAAATGGATTTGAAATTTTGTGGTTATTTGTTTTATGCAGATCGCCATCTCAACAAACTCATGATTGAGCCCGCTTTAAACCATTTTAACTTTAATGGGAAAGAGACGTAATCAGAGGTGTCGCTAGGTGCATAAAAGATTCAGGGCACGGGCCTCGTGTGCCAGTGCCTAGCAACGCCTCTGGACGAGATAAACACATTTATTTATCTCCCTCTTGGAAATGCTTTATAATGCCCTCTTCTTCCTAACTGCCTAGTAATGGCATACAGAACGTATGTTTATGTACCACATTTTGTATAACTTATCTTGTAAAACTTGATATTTTTATTGGGCTAAAAATTTTAAGTCATAATGACCTTGTTATAAGAATGATATTACTGAGATAGTGGAAGAACTTCATTGACATAATTGACTTAAGCTATGTTCTGAACTTCCTTTGTCTTCTCGCTGATTTGTTAGCCTTATTGGTTATCAATAAACTGACCTTGTGGAGTTACCAACCCAAGGGTGAAGTGGAAAAACTGAGTTGTCATTAAGTTTTCTTGATTGTGTTTGACCCAATTATAATAGATGATGCCAATTAATCAGGTTGTTTTTATTTTTTATAAAAATTTATTTGTTTAACATTCAAATCCTCCCTATTATTTTATCCCCCGATCTTTTTTTTTCGATTTTTATCTGAAATTACTAAGCGGTAACTTTGTACAACGAAAAAAACACTTTTTTAAAATAAATTCTCAATTCATGAAAATGGGGTTAAGAAAGTTACCAAGAAATAACGAGGATAAATGTACAGTGATAAGCTAGGGTTTCATGCTATTTTACTTTTCTATTAAAAACTGTTATACGCCCCTGCAATAAGAAAATCTTGGTCTTCATGTAACTTTGACTAGAAAAAAAAACTACGTATTTGAAGAAAATCAAACATATGGCCTGCAATACTTCAAAACTTTGAAATTATGTTTTGTTTGTGAATATTGACTGCAAAGATTTAGTGAAAACTTCTATACTGTTCAAATAAAACGTTGTTTTAGTCTTATAGTATGATATGTTTGTGTCATAATTCATTGTATCTTCATATAGTTCCAGATTACAATTATTTCACGATTTTGAAACATCAACTTTAGTTCTGGTTTGATCAAGAATCCTATTGTTGAAGTTCCACAAATATGGCCCTCGGATACGTCGTCCATTCTAAACTGTTTTGCTTTCCCTCTGGTCTCTTGGCCTTAGTAATTACCACTAAGTTGGCCTCGTGGGGTTGCCAGCACGAGAAGTTTGTGGGAATAGAGGAATAACTAGCACTACAGAATAGCCAAGTCCTTTCCCCCCAAAAAATGTGGACCGTTTCTTCTACAAAAATAATTTAAGCGATTTAAGTGCAAGTCAAGGGTCTATTCAATTATTCAAAAGATAGACCTTTTAGAATTTTTAGAACACTGGGGTGGTCATTAGAGCGTTTGACGCCCCCCCCCCACCTCTCGGGATACGTTCCCCCATGGGAAGATAGAAGTGCCACTAATTAAGTTTTTCTGCTTGTATTTAATCAGTTATTTTAGGTAATGTCTTTTTCTAAGTCATTTGTTTTGTTATTTCTACTCTGGAGTTCAGAGGAATCCGAGTATTGGGAAAATGACTCTTAGTTTATAAATTGACCGATCATGCCAGGAAGCTTAAATTAAATTATGTTTTCCTTTAAAATTCAGTTTCAATTCGTTTCAGTTAATTCCGTAGGTTTGATTTTATTTCCAGTATCTATCCCCCATTGCTTGTTTTTACCCCACCTTTTCTCTAGCCTTCACAAGTTTAGTGTTAAATATTGATTGCATTTGCTTCTTTTACAAGAATCATCTTGACTTTTTCATATTCGTAGTCGAAATACTTTCAGCTTATAAAAATGTAATGTGATTTGATTTGTCTATCATTTTCAATGCGAGAAATTTCTAAAATTTTGTTGTGATTGATTGTTTTTAAAAAACATTAACATATTCCCTTTGTTTTAGAATTTGTTTTAAATGTTGATCAGAAAGTTCCACTTTATATACACAGTAAGTTTCAATCTTGATTAATATTCTTTAAAGTATTTTTTACTTTGATACCTTATTTTGCCTATTGCATTAGTCATCACTTCTAGCTATAAATTGCAAAAGCACCGCAGAAACTGCGGACCTCGGACCTCACCTTACAAAATGGCGTCATGTCAAATTAAGTAATAATATTTTTGGCTGAGATCAAATTATAACTGATAAATTTTCTTTATTTTCGATAAAAATATTAGTTCTTTTATTTATGTCTGTTGTTTGAATACGAGAAACGTAATAATATTATTCAATCAATTGAGATTTGAGTTACATTTGAATCACATGCATATTTTGCCGTCGCCTACCATACCCTCTAAACCGAATAAGGATTATCTGAGGCATAGTTTACCAACAAATATAATTTACCATAAAAAACATTTTCAAAACGAAAATAACGTCTAAAGAAGCTGTAAACAATCCTCAGGTACGTGGTTTGCTCCTAACTCTTCAACACTTCCAATTACATTCCAATATTCTTTTATGCAAGAACAATGTCTTTTTTCCCCACAAAACCATAAATGATTTCTCACACCACTTTACATTGATGTAAACTTTTATAATATGTTCTATACAATGGATTTAAAATTTGCCTGTAGCTATTTTTAAAACAGAGTTTCATTAGTGTCTATTCAGACCACATATTGTGAGGCAATAAACGGAAAGAGTAGCTTTAATAATAAAAGAAACAAAAGAGAAGAAAAATCATCTGAGAAATAAAACTCAATAAACATAAATCTAAACTCAGGATAGCCAGAAAAATTCTAAAAAAAAAAGAATTATAAGAGCCTTGCTTACAAGCTATACTTCTCTGAACTGTGGAGATTTCTATGTTTCAATGGTTTTTAATTTTGCTTTGCGGATTAAACTAAATAAATGTTACAGAATGACAAAATATCAATTCTAAAATATAGTGAGTAAAACATTGTTGAAATACAGTTAAAATATTAAGAACTTTTGAAACTTGATATCTAGGTGTGCAATCGACACCTTAAAGATACTCACCGGTCCATAAAGGGTCGATGTATTTCCACTTCTTCACAGAGATTAAATGTTTGGATGTACCTGAGGAGCCCCACTAGCTTAGCACATCAGATCTCGTCTCTTGTTTCTATTTGGTAGAACTGAATGAAACAAGTAGGCTAAGAAGTATATCCAGCACTTGTAACAAACTGTACGAGTTCTGCACCGTGCAATTCATCCTGTGTAATATAACAGCCAATTTTGAGAATGTGATGGAGCTTATGCTTTATGATTTGCAAGGAGTTAATGCCTCATCTATGTGGATGGGATTTTCGTGCTTAGCTGTACATTTCTAGTAGTTGTTGTGAACCTTCGACTAATATACCAGCATATAAGGAAGACAGGCTTGAAAGTGAAACTGTGAAAGTGCGAATTTATATGCACACAAATGGAATATTAGGACACGATTTGAAAATCGTTGGCTTTCCATAGTTATTCTGTCTATAGAGTCACGTTTTAAATGTTGAAGAAATAAAAATAAAGTAATGAAAAAAAAGAAGTGTGAATACAAATGTAAACAATGTGTTGTTTACACTATATATATATATAGGGGAAACTGGAAAGCAATACATTTCCTGCATATAATGAATAACGCATTGTTCTTCACAGAATGAGAAAATTAAACTCAGTGATTTGAAAATCAATTTTTCAGTAACAATAACGGATAAAAATGACTTCAAAGAAACCGGTTTCAAACTAGATATAGTATAAATAGTCAACTATTACATGTAATATAACATTTTAACAACATACAATTGCAGTAATTAGGTGTAATTATTGTATATAGAATAAACTGTAAATAAATTATGTTGCTAAATTTGGATCCTGGCTTTATGTGCTCCATGCAGTCATCAAACTCTGGCCAAGCAGATATAAATACTACTACATGTGTAAATAACATACCAATAACACTGCCCAAGATAATAAAAAAACTGAGCTCTAAGATATATATATTTCTCTACAATGATATCAATATGTTTTAAATACATTAACGTAGCGTTCCGAATAAAAAGTTTTCACGTTGTGGTGTTCCTTCAGTCTTATCCCTCGAGATGCCATGATAACG